TTCATCTGGCATAAAAAATATTCCCGTCAAAAACAAATCAGAAGAATTGTCTTGTGCTGAACAAAAGACACGTATAAAACATTTTATCTAACAATAGTAACAGTTTTAACTTTCATATCATTACAATAACAATCGACATATTCATTCAAATTTTCACACTATTAACACATAAACGCCCATATAGATAATCACTGCAAGAACTTGAAAACATTTTCCCACTTTGAAACTTCTTTTCTAAAAAAATAAATATACTTTCCCACTCAGAATTTGTCAATTGATTAAGGAAGTATTAAAACAAAAACTGATGGGTATCTCAGAGATCTCTTCTCAAATTATAGCATCTTAAATTTATGGACCATGCAACATTACTTCAGTCTATAAGTACAGAATGACAAATGTTGTCACGAAATATTGTTGCAACAACTTTTAAGAGTATACCAATCAAAATTTACATCAAACATCAAATGAATCAAAAGTAGCAGCAGGGATTTTACAGGCTAGAATTATAGGGAGTAAACTTGTGTCACAGACGTCAGACAATGACGAGGACTGTTAAAAAGACTACAAATAAAACATCTTGGAAATGGTGAATAGAAGCGATAGGTAAGTCACACTTCCACTGAGTACATTCAAAATGTTCAGTGCAACACTGAATGATGATGTTAACTGTAAGAACACTAAATTGAAGAAAGTGGTGACTAATAAGAGCAAAAAAAAACGGTATTTGATATTGCAACAATAATGCTTAGATTATTCAGCATTGAGAAAAAGAAGGAGAGCACTGAGACACTGAACTGATGCCCTCCCAATAGAGAAAAGGTTGCAATCCCCAATAAGGACCCCAGGTGTTCCATAAGCACAGAAGTTAAAATCTACCTGTTCCCAGATGGTGTTAAGCTACTGAACTTTAAAAATCTGACAAAAGCCAATTACTGACCTAAAAATTAAGCAGAACAAGATATTTGATGTTGCTAACAATTCCAATTGACAACAAGAAAAGATGTCTAGCAAAACAACCTGTCCCTAAACATGAGGAAAACATAAATGAAGGTGCTACGCAATTCAGGCCCATCACACAATAGTTATCAATTCAGATTATGCATTTTCCGTCACAGCCCAAGTTTGCTGACGAGATTCAGGAAGTTCAGTAATGCAACGAGTATAATTAGATTTTAACAAGTTCTGAAGATATTTTGGGGTCTCTACAAGGCACCTATCAGGACCCCACCTGGGCCCCATATTTTTCTTAGTACAACCCTATAAAGGCAACAAAATTTCCTCTTCTTACTTTGTAAAAAAACAAACTTTTATTGCATGACTGAACAACCTAAGTCAGATAGACAAACCCGGACTATGTTGGTGAATTCAAAATCTGAAAATGATGGATAGGTGTCAGGTCTGAATAGAGAATGACCTTACAAATAAATGCACACAATAAGAATGTCAGTCAGTAATTTCAAAACATAACTGAAAAAAGAAATTTTAAAAAAATGTGTAAGTAATATAGTTCCTTTAACAGCAAGTCAGTGACTAACGACTTTGAACGCAACATCAGTACTAAAGAAACAAGAAAACATTTCCATATAAACTAAAACTTGTGTTGAATCTCAAAATCATTTCAAATGCAGTGTAAGACAAAGTTACTGACTGACAAACAGTGCACAGAAAGAAAATGATGTTCTAAACTTTTTTAATCCATCACGTAATTGGTCCAACATAGCCAGTTACAAGTACAAGGCTTTTTCATTTAATAAAATTGTTTCTAAAGACACTGGGAAATGTGCTTTTCACAGATTCATTATCTGCACTAACAGTGAACATTATTTGGCAGTGAAACAGACTACGCAAATTATCTTAAATTCTTGATATTCTCAGACAGACAATTACTCAAACTTTACCAAAAATTTGAACCCTCATTCAAAAATGTCAAACATGATTAGATTTGTTTGGTAGAGCAGAACTCTCATTCACTATTCCATCCTTAGCATTCAATGGCATAAATATGAATTGAATATGATGAAACAAACAGAAGTACAGAAAAACATACCCATTTATGGCACTTAAATACTTATTTACCATGGTATTTACAGTAATTACAATGGTAGCAACTAGTAAGATTTGCCTCTATTGAAAAAAATAAGACTTTTTATGTATTTTTGGTTTTTGGTTCTATGGAGTTGAAAGTTGGCTACACATTTTGGGTGAATAATGAAATTGTTCTGAAACGCACCTTAGTGGCTTGCTGTGCACATATATGAAAAAACAAGAGAAGCGGGTCTCAATTACATGTACATGAAAATTTTATGCAATTTTTTAAGGGTCAGGAATAGCAAAATGACAAGTAAAACACCCTCTTGATATGAAAACATTCAATTTTCATAAAATTTTATGATATGAGTAACATTTTGATAGGACTACAATCAAATATGTTTGGAACAAATAGTTGAAAAAAAGAAACTAAAAAAATGTCACACCACAAGTAAAAGTGTAAATGGCAGGACAGTGCACAACAAGCCCCCTGATCAGAAAGGTCGATTTCACTACATACTTCTTAATTTGCAATTGATCCACTTCAGTGTCTTCATTTAAATAGATACGTAAACCTAATTACTATCACAACACACTTGTTCAAGTGCTGATGAAATTATACAAACATATATTTTTACATTTATAATTTTATGTACAATTTGAACATATGGTAAACTGATGACTTTGA